GAATTTATCTATAATAACTAAAAATCTATTATTCTGCGTTATGTACAGCGTGTCATACATAATGGACTAAGATTTTTCGGTCTGGAGTCTCGGTGCCATTTTACATTTTACAATAGTAGGCTAGTGCCGATCAACTTACGTTCCCAGAAGAATCGCAGATTTACTTTCGGTGTTTCTTTCGTAATAAATTTGATTAGGGAAGTTGCTGAACCCTATCAGCTTTACTGAGTGAACTAAACTTAAATGTGTCTACCAGAAAAGCTGGAAATTTTTTCAATTATTAAAGCTCGGCCAGCGCAAATATAATCACAAACTGTATAATCTCTTTAGGATTTTATGCGCCTATTCTCTACATCAGCCTAATTACAAATAATGACATCCTTACTCTATAGCGTCCATGACTCATATTCGGTATGATCGATCGATTTATGTCAATTTCCAGACTTTTACTTACTTATATATATATATATCCAAGTATTCATTGTAAAATTGCTTCTTTTTCCATATTCTGTTCAGTTGTACGTATATTCGTAACCAAACCTACAACCTATTATGCTTACCACTATTGCCGAACTCTGTTGTCTGAATGTCTTTTGTAATTAAAATTTGAGAAAATTTAAGATCTGATATGAATCTATACATGGGTTATGTGAATCATGCTGGTCATAACTTTGATATGTTAGTGATCGTAGCCCACACGTACACTTTATGTCTATTATGTGTCCAAAATGCATCTTGAGAGCATGATAATATTCTTACCTTATTTTAAGGAAATTTTGTAATTCGAAAAATGATATCAGCCAGACTTTTCGCCAGATGTTCGTTTCAAGAAGTTTAAATGTAGAAAAGAAGTAGAAATGATTAGGATTTTGGTTTGTTTCATATCCCTTTCTATTTGTTCATTGGGGATTCGTCCTCTTATGCGATAATAGTGTTACGAAAAGGAAAGATTCATTCGGACTCGTTTAGTTGATAATACTGTGATTAGGTCAAGGGGCGAACTTTTGAAGTCTTATTGTAGCACGTAACCGGAAACTCATGATAACTGATGAATTCGAAATTGTACTTACATAATTTGATTTATTGACACTAATTTAATTTATTGTTTCAATTATTAACACTGTACATTTAAAATGAGGTGAAATCGTCACTATAACTCGGACTTCTTTTTGTGCGGATCGTAAAGTGCACCTGTAACAGGAAGGACTGATAATCTTCAAAATTTAAAAACATCCTGCACGTCGACAATTGTCTCACTCACCCCGAACGAATGAGAGGTGACGAACGATAATCCTTCTTTCCAGTGAACTTCCAAACTGGGATGTTCTCCCCGTCCGAAAATTGCTCCATTGCCTCCGTAACGGAGGAGAGAAAGCTTACGCAGGAAATAAAGAAGAATTGGGCAAATTAAAAGAAGAAAAGAGCATAGAATATTACATAATTGAGCGTATAATAATAATCTAGATAATAAAATGTAAATCAATGTAAAATTGTATAAATCTATATAATATGTACGGTAACGCATATATGATGATAAAGTCATTGTAGGAATAAACAATAGTGTAATAAGTTTTGTGAGGGATTAAGGAAAGGGTTGCCTCTTCGCATGCACATATAATTGCGATGCAAAATTAGTAAAGAAAGCGTGCGCTTCCTTACAAAAGCTTTGCTTGATATGCGATATCTTGATGGATCAAAGAAACAATATACAAATTTAAATATAGCTGAGCGAATTGTGTGCCATAAATTACTCTTTTTTCTTTTGTAAGAAGCTCTCAAGCGTAACATAACATAAAGTCAAATTTGTCTAGAAAAAAAAAAAAATAAAAAAAAAACCATATAACAATCTTATGTAGACATCCAATCAATTTCAGCTTAAAAACAAGATCCTAAAATTGCTTTTGTTTTGCTACAAACTCTCTGTATGTGATGCATTGCTGAGAACATACAATATCTTATGTATAAATATAGTTTACATGTAAAACAAATGCAAGTGAATGAAAAAAAAAAAAAAAAAAATTGTTATAGTAATTAAATGTTGTAAACCGTAAGTCTCTGTCTAATGTTTATTTATAGTACGGCTTTCACAACGTGCCATCGAATGCAAATACCGGTGCAGTTGCATGTTTGGTACGATCTATAATGTTAAAAAATTTTTTACTTTTGCTTTAATTTTTCCATATATATATACATATATATATATATATACATATATATACATATATATATACATATATATATATATATATTTTTAAATTCAAAATCAACCAAAAAAGAAAAAAAAATTGAAAAAATGTACAGTCATTGAATGGTTGAATGTATGTAAGCCTGCATTCATGTTATGAATGAATAAACACGCTAGCAACGCCAACAACAATCTTACATGTAAGTTTTAGTCAATAACTATAGCATTATCAACTTCAAAATCCATATTGTTAGTCATTATCAAGCAAAGCGATCGTGGACGCCCATATTCATATTGTCTTCTTTTAGCAAGAAGGAGGGGATTAGAAGATGTAAAAACTTTAGCACTAACGAAGCGTAGTGGAGAAAGTGGAAAAACTTGAAAATTCAGAAATCCAACCTTTTGAAGTTATCCCGTTTGTAAATTAATTTTATGTTAATGTTTTTTTTTTTTTTTTTTTTTTTTTTTTTGTAAAATTGAACGCTTGTGCGAAGATAATACATGAACTCAATGCTGAAATGACGATTTGTCGCTCAGGGATCTCTCTTGTGCATGTGAGTGTAAAATAAGTAAGCGCTTCTAGGACACATTATGTGTTACTGGTTGAAAACACTGGTAATCAGAAGGGCTAATATCAGGTGAAATCATTAAATAGAGCTCATGCCAAACGGATCGAACATTTACATCCGCTTTTCGTCGCAATAACATCTATATAGGTTATATAATAGCGTAGTAGCGCTATCCGTAAACTTTTTTTTTTTTTTTTTTTTTAAATAGCGCATAGCTCGTATCGTTCCATCGTCGATCTATTTTCCAAATAGAGGCACAAGAAATATATGGCTTTAGACTCGATGTTAGCAGATCGTCGGATTAAAGCATTTTTCGTTTTCTATGCATATCGTATTCGTATCGCAGCGGCTCCGTTTTTCTTTAGCTCTCATAATTCGCTATTCGGGCTATGTTATGTGCGCTATGATGAGATCGATCGATATATGAGTTGCGACATAAAAACTAAAAAGAATACTTTGAAATGGTCAGGTCACAGCATACTTCCATTACCTTTTAGAAAGAGCTTAAAAAAAAAAAAAAAAAAAAACCTATGTATTAATCAATTTAAAACTAGGAGAAATGTGATACCACCACAGTAAGAAAAAAATTATACAAACTATAGCGTATGTTGTGCGATCCATGCATGATGTACGTATATATTGAGTGAATGGAGTTTCAGTCTATGCTCAGACGCAACTTAGTCATGGGTATTAATGTATTCGGCTCAAGTTGCGATAAGCTTTTTTCTTGCTTGTTATCTAATTTTTGTAGCATTCTTCATTAATTTCATTCCCTTTATGTTTCTCTTACGTATACGATTACAGAAAGAGTACATTTTGTCTTCGCAACTAACATATATATGCATATATATACATATATACTTTGCCGATTATAAAGAGTTAATAACGCTTTATAAGTGGGTGTTTGATTGTAATTTGATTTCGACCAAAATAACAACTTTTTGCCAATAGTGTTGTAACTTTAGAAAATTTTAACAAGGAAGCACTGTTCAAAGAAACATCAGCTTGACTTTATTAAAAAAAAAAAAAAAAAATTAAAGACAAATTTAACAAACAATTTTGAAAAAGTAAAACACAATAATTATTTATTTTTTCTTTGCCTGCGAGTCGAAATATTTAACTTTATTTTAGTCATAGTTTACGGGCCGTACAATTTACCGATTAAGGTACTAAGCAAATTCAATTCAATTGATGATACACAAGATAAGTGTGCCAGTTTGGAGTGTGGTTTGCATTACTGCAATAAAGCGGTATCAGGTTTTCTATGCAACACTTTCGTATTTGTTTTTGTAATAGATTTCGAATCGATTACCTAATGTGCGATCGAAGTCGCTGATTCTTTTTCAATTATAAGCAACGATAGGCCTCTATTCTCTATTGTTCACAGCTATGACTAATAGGAGGAGGATCAGAAACAACAGAAAGTTGTTTAAATTAAATGCTTGAGGGAGTCACTGAGTGAGAGCCTTATAAATAATAAAATTTTATTATTTTCAGCCATAATATTATAATTAATGGTCTATAAATATGCTCAATAAGATGATTGTGTATTTTGTGACAATTTCATGCTTTTGAGATGAGTACATCATAGTCACATTTTGCAACTGTACGAACAAATTACGGCAGAGGAAATGATCAAATCGATAGTGCAGTTCAGTGTTTAGCATTCAGCTAACCTGGATGGATTTTCGTGTACTCAACCGAGTCATCGAGTCGCCGAGCCATGTTACTACATTGGAAAATCGCTTTTATCTTTTCATTAACATACTGTAACCATTGTTCGATCGATGATCGGCTTAGGTGTATCACTATCGTTGTCGTTGCTGGTTTTCCGCAGAACACGAACACTTGGCACAGGGCTTCCATCAACTTGGACAGGGGAAAATAACTCGAAAATTTCCTTTTTTTCATCTATGTCTATAGCTATAGATAGATATATTGAAAATTCAAAAATATTACGCTTTGGCGAAATCTTCTGCAAATACGATGACTTAGATATTTTGATTTTTCACTGGAAAAGTCACAATACAAAACGGCTCGAGCTATACGTTTTCTTAAATATTTATAAAAGTTTTAGTATAAACTGGGATTTAAGATACTCTTACACATACCCATATATATTGTGATTTTTACCAATGTCTGGCTCTTTAACAGCACCAAACAGATAGCTCATCAATATACGGAACAAGTTGTAAACTTCTTGTAAAACCTCACTCTCTCACTCTCTCTCTCTCTCTCTCTCTCTCTCTCTCTCTCTCTTTCTCTCTCTGTTGTTATATAGACATCAATATAACTATTAATTAATTTATAGGAGGTGTTATTACCGTCACGTCAACCCTAAGAATACTCGTGTAGGGCTTCTCATGTGACACAAGCTGCATATAATACGATTAATGGATTGTGAAATGCAAGAAAAATGAAAAATATATTGTATTATAATTATCACTTCTATTGCTGTTGCTATTGCCATTGCTGAGATTAATTAATAAATTAATAATGCGTGTTCGCGGTGTGTGTTCATAGGCAAATCCAATTGGTTTTAAAGTGCGCAATATACATGTTTTTTCAATATATATACCTAACGTAGCATAATTATGTTTATAGTGAATGTGTTTTGGCATGGTTTTAGATGTTTGTGGCAAATTATGCTTGCATTTTATAAATCAGGTTATGCCATGAATTGAGTTCATGTATAGATTAAGTACATGTACATTTAACATGTTGTGACACTACAAGCAAACCAAAAAAAAAAAAAAGAAAAAAAGAAAGACTAAAGAAAAAGAAAAAACGAAGCAAATAATATGCAATTAGTGGTGCCTGGTGCCATAGAAAAAAAAAAAAAAAATTAGTTAAAGTTCGATAACACCATTAGATGGCAAGTTTCCATCAATTTACGCCCTCAATTCAAAGCCCTTTATTATGAGAAGTAAACGCCTGCGAACTTAGCGCAGGAATCTTTTCGTTTTTACACTTTGCAAAATATTGTGTTTGTGTGTGTAATTGTGCATTAAATATCTCTTTAACCGGGTGTAACCGGGTATAACCGAGAAAGCAGGGGTCATAAAAGCGATCGTCAACGTAGTATTCTCTTGCGTCTTAACTTTCGAATAGAGGGCATCATGGCGGCAAAGCCTAGTATGAAATTCACTGTAAGGAGTAATCCTGCGATTATCCTGTGATTTTGTTTTGCGTATCCTTCTTATTTGCTTGAACTCTCCCTAAAAGAGTTATACAAGAACGTTATAAAGAGATGTGTGTGTTTGTGTGTGTGTGTGTATGCTTCAAGAATTCAAAAATTCAATTTTCCTAACATGCTCGTAAGGGCGTATTGCAAGCACTTTGAATGCATGCCGGCTAGTGTAAGTGCCCAGCAAGGGCAGATGAAAACGCCAGATTTAAATGCACTCCTCTCACAGAGATAGAAGTGCTCTTAAGTGATTAAAGCTTTCTATGATGCAAGTGTCGCAGGAGATTAGATTCAAAATTAGAGCATGAAATTTCTAGCACGTTTTACTCGAAGCCATATATTCTTCAAGTTTATAGTAAGTACAATTGACATTTTCACAGTATGTTCGCAATGAGTTTTTCTAGTAAGCCATTCATAATCGCATGATCGAGTCATTTGTTCGATAAATTAAAATTTACCGATGCTATCTATGATAGATTTTCGAGTGATTAAAAAGAAACTTTCAAACCCAGAGTATATTTTTTTTTTTTAAAAGTTAATTGCATACTAGGCGATGCTAATTAATTGGATTTTGGTTCATATCTTTAAATAATGTTTGGTTTGTTATTGTAAGTGCAACATTATGACTTGTGTGAATTGTACAACAACAGAGGCCAAAAAAAAAAAAAAAATAAATAAAACAAGAACACTTTTTGCAAGAGCTGTCGCGTCTAAATTTTTCATATTTTCATAAAGTCTATAAAACATCTTTTAATGTAGTTTAAGGCTTGTGTACTTTCTTCTTTCGCAATCCTAATGTTAATAAATCTTTTTATTTATTTGCATATACATATGTATATCGTATACGTATATCGAAACGAAAGGGAGAAAGGCAATAATTACGCTATTTTTGTTCTTTTTATAAAAATTTTTGCTTTGTGCTATAAGATTTTTTGCTTGATTCTTGCTGAAATGTAGATCGGTGCTTGCTACAGATCGTAGATTACTGAATAAATTTCTATTAATTTCGGAAAATTTTTTTTCAATTTTTTTTTGCGCCGTTAACAGCGCAATTGTTTATTGGTAAACTTAGAAATTAAGATCGACATCTTTTTAAGGATATATATATATATATATATATATATATAATATATAATGATGAATTTTGGTCTGCATTTTAATTTTTGTGTGAATTCGTAAGATTAGCTTAAGAGGATAATTAAAAATGATGCCGAATATTGTAAGCGAACGCCGGCTTCTTCGTTAATTTTGCATCACAATTGTCTACGCTTTTTTTATATATATATATATATATATGGACATTTCCCCATATGATAGTATGCATATACCAAGCCTAATATATTATAGTAAAACAGACTTATCTTCATCTAGTCTACACACTTAATAATTTAATAGATGTTTTCTATTGATAGACATACATATACGTGTTTTATGTAAATATATTATATTCGTAAGTTTTTATGAGTGTAGGGTCATTTATAGGTATACTATAAACTGATATGTCTACATATAGTATTATTTATAGATGTACATTCATATTTATGTGCATACATGTACGAAAAATTATATCTTATATCATTTATAGGAGGAGAAGATGTATATTATACCCAAATATATTTCTGAATCGATTGAAGTTTATTTGTCCGTCCGTCTTTCAGTCTATCTGTTCGCCTGATGTTGCCGATTCCCCTATTGTAAGTTACAAAAAAAAAAAAAAAAATAAGGGGACACAGACAATTCAAGCATGGTTTCCACTTATGACTTTTCAAAAAGGTAATACGACCACTGGCTTAAGTATTGAAATTGTAAGAAGATTACAAATAGTTTACAACGGAATGGGCAAATGCTATTTGTGCTGTGAATCGAGTGAGAAAAATGTTAAGTAAATTTTGTCACAAGTTCAACATCATGTGTGCTTCTCACTTCTTCAAGAGATAATTTAACGTTTGCTAGGCTTAACGAGGCATTAGAAATCGGTGAAAATATTATATGTGTAGAATGTTGGCGGAAATGCTCCGCGGCATTTTAAATAAAACATTTGAATTTGAAGATGGCCGATATGTTCTTTAGGAGTCGAACGGTGCATATACGCATATACTGGTTTGCAATTGCAAAACGTTTAGATGCGGCGGCTATCTTCTCTGAAATCGAAATCTCCAGAACGAAATTCGACAAGTCATCTTTGGTAGGTCCGAACAATTACAATTTAGCTTCCCAACGAGTTACATAAGTTTTGCTAATCCTTCGATTTGTTGCTTCCATCCTCGAACTCATACCAAAGGCAATGTCCCAAGCGCACACAATCTATTGCTCTTGATTTTTCCATTCTGCATTTCGCAACTTATTGATGAAAGTAGTCCTCTTCTATCGCACGAGAGACGCGCTAAACACGTAAGACCCCAAAATAGTCATCCTACCTGTTTGCTTTGATCTGTCAAGTAAAATTACTTCCAGGTAATAAAATACGTCACCCTTTCATTATAACCATATAGATGACAGGCGCGCTCAGTACCGATTTTGTACTGGTCGATATAAGTTGAGGGTTCATGAATTTTGTCATTACGCTTGCAAATAGTCAAGAAAAAGGCGTTTTTGGAAAACGATGAACTTCCTTTGCTTTGCTGATGAAACAAGGCAAAGAGTAAGACATAACAAAGGAAAACGGCAAATATTTATTAGTAGTTTATGACGGTCACCAGTTTGATTTTTTTTTTTTGAATATTTATTGGAGAGCGAGATTTAAATGTCTTCCATTTACATCGAATCCAGAGTCAACAAAAGTGGCCGCAATTGCTCTTGTATGGCGTTCACCTTGGTTTTATTTTCTTTTTGTTTTTTTTACCAATTCTACTACTAATATGATGATTGCTTTTAGCAGACTGAGATTGGCTTAGTCTCAAATAAAGAAAAAAATTTACCTTTGAGATTTTTCATACATATTTATGAGTGTTGCGAGTCGAATGAAAAAGTTAGTATGTGTTCGCCTTCTTCTTCTTATTGCATAGTATGTGTAATAAAAAAAATTGTTGTTGTTGTTGTTGTTGTGTATATGCATCGGCATTGCACGTGATATTTGTTAAAACTTATACATAAATGCATATTTATGTGACAATATCAGGGCTTCACATAACTTTCTTATTTCTTCCTCTTTTGACGTTTGAACATTGCTTAATGATTTGCTTCTCCCTGTACTCGTACTGACAAATGCAGCGAACAGAATTGCAGTCAGACAGTATACACACAACACTGAACAAAGTGGGTCGTGCCTTTTTTTTTTTTTTTTTTTTTTTTTTTCTTTTTTATGTACACTATTGCGAAATGAAGGTATACCGGGTTCATTTTTTCGTTCTGTTATATCCGGGAATGCACATCAGCGACCCTGATGATCAAGTCAATTCACATATTATTATGACGATGTCTTTTTCCCTCTTCATTATCATTATTACTATTATTTATTGCAGATTAAATTTCAAATCAACCGCTAACAACTGCAAGAGAATGAAGTTAAACGTACAACGCAGAGCAAACGTTAATCTAATCTAAAATTCGAAGGAAATATTTTTCAGAACTTACGATTAAAAAGAGATATTATATTAACTGTACGAGGTACAAATATTTTCTCGATTTATATAAAAGGTCGACAAAATGACACGCCTACATTTAACAGAACAATTTACGATCCAATGCTTTTCATACACGTTTGCTTGACATACAAGAAAAAGAAACGAAACCAAGTTCATGTTAAATCAATGCGAATGCGGTAAATAAGTTTGCCAATATACCGGCGTAGTGCATATGATGGCAAATATATATACATATAATTGCATAAATGTATAATTGCTGCGAATAATGCATACGACTCGTGGATTGGGTCACAGTGAAAATGATGGACTAATCTGGCGAGGTTGGTTGAAAGAAATAGTTAATAAATTTTGCGTACAGATGGAGACAAGAAGGAAAATTAGAAATATTTGTACCTCGTAGGTTGCTTTTGCAAGTCTTTCAATTCACTGCAGAGAATACATTTAGTTAAAAATATGTATGTTGTTGTGTGTGTCATGTACAAATAATTATTCAGAGATTTATTAAATAGAATTCATCAAATCTATTGAGCAACAACTATACGAGGCTAGGCCGGAACTAAGCCGGGACGACAATGTTAATTTAGAAATCGACCCTTTTTTTTCCCATCAAATAAAAATTTAATCGTCAGCTGAATCACTCGACAGTTTGTTTACATTTAGCACAAATTTAGAATTGAAAATATTGTGCTCTTGGTGTTGCTGTTGTAATAATTTATTCATTATGTTCTACAGTAATTGTGGCCGCGGTATATTAAGTTCTTGCATACGTATGTCTTACTAAATCAATTGATTTAGAATAGTTTTAATAATAGTTCTGCCTATTTGTCTGTCCGACTCTACACATCTGTTAGATTGTAATTCTCCATATATTATGATAGAATCTGATGCGCTGACATATTTTCGCTCACGAATATAATTTCCGTATAAAGGCTTATGTTTGCATGAATCGTTATGCTGGAAAGGTTTTTCCATTTTCTATATAATACTAAATGAATATGGAATATGTGGATGAGATGAGGCTATTTTTGGCGGATGTCTTCTATACAATCATTTATATAAAAGTAATAAGTTTAAAAAAGGCTATGCAAATAGCAAAGGGGATGAAAATTAGTTCAGAGCAATTTGGGTCATAAAAATTTATTATGCAAAATTTTGAGCATTTTTTTTGGTTGCTTCCCCGATACCGACTCTCACGAAAGGAAAGTAAACCTTTGTTTGATAATAAGGTATAATTTTTAATATTAGAAATGAAGGATAAGAAGCGCTTTCACAAAAAAAAAAAAAAAAAAAAAAAAGAACCAAGTATATGCTACATTTGAACTACGTCGTTTCACGTTTTAGAAAATTCCCCATCTATCGCAAGATTGTTTGACGGAGTCGCTTACATTTATAACTACATATTTTTGTTTTTTTGTTTTTTTTATTGTTTTAAAATATTCCAAATTGTTATCGAAATCTTAGCTTTACAATATAGCAGGTGACGTGGTGTGATATATTTAATGGTCCGCTTTGTCCGCCAACAACATGTCAAGAAAACATGTCAAGAAAAGTTTTTCTTATATATCCGCATATGTAAAATGTTTATCGATAAGTTTAAAATTCTGAGTCAATTTAGATATTGCTGCATGTATGCAGCTGCATCTATGCAGGTCGGGAGATATAATTTTTAATAAGATTAGGTAGATTATTACCATTATTGGAATTTCTTTATCTCTTTAACGAGTATAAATTCTTAAAGTAAAGTAGGAGGAGCACATGCAGCTGAACCTATCGGTTATATGTTTTGAAGAAGACTAGGTGATTAATTTAGTCGTAACGATGCGGAAAGGGAAATTCTGGCTGCTTGCGCATTTCCCAACAAACTAATATGTCTCGGAATTCAAATAATTTTCATCTCACATTTTCGATAGGTATAAAAGTAGAAAAACTGATCGTCTAAGCTGTTTATTCTTTAATTTGATTGAAAGTCTCGCTTGGCATCGTTATTGCACTTCAAGGGACATATCTTCGAAGTGCTATATCTAGCACTTCATAGTACCATTAGCATCAGACGATTCATCAATAACGTGCAGAAAGAGTTACGGAGGGATTGTTATTTGAATTCATGAAATTACCTTAGAGTTGTAATAAAACAGTTTGTAGGAGCATAATTGCTGGCAAGTTTCTTATCGTACCGATCTAACAAAATGTATTTGCAACTATAAATTAAACCGCAACCAATAATGGCATTTGCATGAATAACGAGACGGATGGTGAAAGAAAAGAAAAGAAAAGAAAAGAAGTATATAGCATAGCTCACACACCGACGAGTATTTGAAAATAAATCTTGTGGAAAAAGGCGGAAATAACTTCAAACAATTCTAAATGCATGCATGTCTCATAGGCAGACAGACACACGCAGCCAGATATAAAGATAAATGCACAGGAATGCACAATCAAGCAAATATTCGTTTCTTCTAAAGGCCGTTAAGCTCATAGAGCGAAATACATATATATGCATGCTTGAATTTATTATGCCTATACATTTATATGTAAAGCAAATGCACGCATATATACACATACAATACGAATGCATTTTAAGCCCACATTTTATATGTGGAACAAGTGCACACAGCGGTCAATCCCTTTCACTAATACTTTTATTCGTTTTATTTCTTCTCCTTCCATTTTTTGATACTTCGTGTTTTCGAAATATACTCTAAATTAGCTCGACTAGCTTGTGTGACTGACTTCGCATGTGCAATACACTTTTTGCATTTGTTGCACATTTACTTCGTATCTGAAAATCAAAATCATAGAAAGAAAAATTGAGAGAGAGAGAGAGAGAGAGAGAGAGAGAGAAGGAGAGAGAGAGAAACATAGAAAGATTTTATAATTAGCTATGTTCGAATCGTTTGTTACTCGTTACGTAATCAAATAATTGTGCACCTTGTGTGGGCATAATATAGAATCCATCATCTCTAGAAGTTTAGTCCCTTGAAAAATTCAGCTTAATCTGAAGAATATGCTTGTATTGGTGAAAACATCTATACCGTCTGATCTTTGATTATTTACTTGGGAATATTGCATGAACACGGAATCGACGGGCTTCGTAATAAAGTACAAGTTGATTAAAGACGCAAGTATTCATTGACGCCCCAACCTTTCGAATCGTAAAGAGTGACATTAGAATAATGCTTGCTATCTGCTATAAAGTGCTTGACGTTAATTTTCATAGGTTTCTCGCCGAAAGTCTATATCCGCTACAACGGCACTTTTCTACTCAAACATTTTTATAAACGATTCAAATCCTCTTGTGTAGGGTTTCCAAAATGGGATCCAAATATTTTTCGTTTCGATAAATAGCGAATATATTGATCAACTTGGCATAGTTACGATTTTGTCGCGGTGATAGTTGAAGACTATTAAAAAAAAAAAAGAAAAAATTAAAGAAAAGGGAGCAGCTGGAGCAGTATAGATATTTTGAACGGCAGCGTTAACAAGCAGAGTTTTCGATATTTGCCATTTAACTTCCACTCTATCGTTTTTTCCTTGTTCTTTACATTATTTCACACAAACAAAGGAAACATGTTCACATTATGCTTTTTAGAGAGGCGGTATAGTTTGTTCATATAATGCACGATCGCGTGAGCTTATGGCTTTTGTTTTTATATAGGCTGCTTGGTCTGTGTAAAGAATTACGGATGATTTTTTGTGTTTCTTCTTATTATTGTTGTTTCTGTTGTTATTATGCTTTTTATTAGTGCTGTTATTGCAATTTTAACGAATTTTTAATTTAATTTTATTAGAATTCACTATGAGTATAAAATGAATATAAACGAATTGTGTGTGGGTAGTATGCTGCATGCAACAAGTTGTTAAGTAATTTTTAGTTCGTAATACTAACAAGTGCTTTTAGATTGCTAATCGCTTAATTTGTTTTCCACAATACATGCCCGCTTAAATGGGATGGGCAGAGCATTAGAATATACTTTTAATAGTTTTTTGCAAACCATTTTTAACAAAGGCCGATCTTTTCCTATTTGCTGCGAATATAACTTTTTCGTCTCAACTCAAATGCATTACGAATTTTCAATCGTTATACCGCTTATGCTACATACTAAGTTTGCACGGATATACGTATCACCCAGAATCACTTAAGATCAATTCCAATTTTTCAATATCATTATCTGAATTCATTTAAATTTATCTGTTCGTCAATTTGCTTGGATGACTGCCTATGTATTTTTGTGTTCAATCTGCAGGTCGTAAATTTTTAAGATATTTTGACTGATGTGTTTTGGTCCAATTAGGAGCCATACTAAAAATGCAGTGAACTGGGACAGTCACTGGGACGACCACTTCCCCCCCATATAATGTTTGTATTTGAAAAAGTTCCTATATACGAAAAAAAATCATCGAATGAAAGGATAATCGATTTTTTGGGGTAAAATCGCTGAGCAATACTATTGTCATCATCACAAAATCTCAGAATCATTTTGTAAAATGTGTGTAAAGATTTACCACCATTGCGGCATACTAGATTTTCATGCTAAAAATTTAGGTCGCGCTAGTCAATTTATGGAACCAATCTAATATATAATATCATCCTTCTTACGAAAAGTAAGCCGTTAGAGTGCAGCAAGATCGAACTTTTAATATTATGTGATGAAAATGGCTCCGTAATCTAAAAATTAATTGTAGTAAGTTTGGGCCATATTAGTCTATTTCTTGAATCCCATTCCATATAAGAGTTTTCATCAAAAGTAAGCCTTCATATGGCAACAAGAACTAATTTGTGGAAAATAAAAGGAAAATTTTTGTCAACTATGGACCATGTGAGTTCAGTTTTGGCCCATTTTCCCTATAACGGCTCTTCTAAGTAGTATTTACATAGAAATCAAATATAATTTTTGGTATTTTATCACAAAGACTTGTACTGCGCGATATTGTTTACGGGCTAGTGGGCCTTATGGCCGGCCTTGCTTCGCTATGATGTTTTGCTTTTTGATTAAAGGAGGAAACAACTGTAACAACCTACAAAAAAAAACAGTCTTTTTTCGCAACTTTTTTTCACAGGCTTTCTTCTCGGAACGCTTTGTGAAAAGACCGAATTTTCCATGTAAAACTTGCTGCAGGCAAAGAATTTTTTCAATATATTCTCAAAGAATCAAAGTACTTTTTGCGCCAACAAAAAAAAAAAAATATTCTAAAGAAATGCGCAGCGAAGGTAATGGTAATCGCGTTTCCCCAAATCAGTCAACAAAAACTCTTTCAGTCAGTCAATAAGTATTTTGAGTTTGCAGCACACAAGACTAATGGAAAGTTCGTACTTCAGAGTTCTTAATGCAAAGAACGCTTCTTCAAACTATCATTGACTTATTTGCCATGCACTTGATAAAATCGTCGTGAATGCATTTCAATCTACGATATAACCATAGAGAGCTTATTTTTCTCTCTCTCTCTCTCTCTCTCTCTTTCTTTCTATTTCTCGCTCTTTCGAATTGCAATTATCAACGATTAACGATTTCCTTGCTTATCCAAAAATAGTCACATGTTGCCACTTTCCTTTTTTGTCGTTTTAAAAAATGCTTTGAAAATTTGTTGCAGATTTTCCTCTTTTTTGTTTGTTTTCTGAGTATACCAGAAATGTATGATCTTCGAAATGATTGCGTGGATGCGTAAACATTTTTTGTTTATTTATGTACTTTCAAGCGTTTTTTTATTTTGTTGGTGTTTGATTTTCTGCAAATGCACAAGCAACTTGAAACAAGTAAAGCAAGGAAGGTACAGAAAAGTAAAAACCAATAAAGCAAAAAAAAGTACACATTTGTATATAAAACTTATGCCATTAAAGAAAAATAACCAGTTGCAACACACCCTGAATGGGTCAATATGTAATAAAAAAAAAACAATAAATAAATAAATAAATAAAATGAAAATCAAAATTAAAAAAGCGTTTCATGCTTAGTACGTCCGGGGTGCGGGATTTTACTGTATGCATGATTAAAAAAAACATTTTCTTTTCTTTTTTTTTTTTTTTTTTTGCTTCTCTTCTCTTCTCTTCTAAGTTATGAAGTAACGATTGCTCTAAATACTGCTGATTTTACACATCGACATATATATATATATATATGCAAGATGTCCGCTGTACTCTTCACAACAGAACAACAGGATCTAGACCTGCCCTCTACCATTAATCACAATAACGCAAATTCTCGTACTTCTACAACTGCAAGCAACATGTCTTCATTCAATAATGGCGATGATATACAACTGCAAAACACTTTTACGGCCGTCTACGTTGATATTTTGGGCAGTAAAATGAATAACATGCGTATACACGGGGAAGTGGCGGATGGAGAAGTAGATCATATTCAAAATCTTAACGGTCAACAGCAACACTATTGCGACGGTAGTGATAGTGGGGTGGAAATTGCCTCTAATGCCAATGTTACTTTACAGAGGGCTCTTAGCAGTAATAGTGGCGGTTATGCTAGTAGTCATGGCGGGGGTTTGGACGATAATGCGCATGGCGGCGTAAATCTGTCCTGCAATTCAAGCATGATTAGTTGCAGCTCCGATATCTATGATATAAAGCAATCAAGCAATTTGTTGGCAGGCAGTAATAGTTTGAATACCTGCCGCTCTTTAAATAGCTACGAGTGTTGCAGCGAGAATGGCAGTGAGAGTTCTTCGGTTGCCGGTCCCATTACTATGACGGTACGTCGAATTAATAATCATAGTAACGTTAAGAAAAAAGTGGCTATGTTTGAGCCCAATTTGTCAGAGGGCCCTTCAGCTATGAAGAGCAAAAAATGCAAAAGAACAGAGTGCCGCCGCTAACTCTTCGGCACAGCATCAACCACAACAACAACAACACCAACAACAATGTAGATCACGTTTAAGTGGTTTGAAGAGAGCTATTTCATTGCCCCGTCCAAGTCAGGGTACGGCCCAACAAGTGCGCGAACGTTTAAGCGAAAAACTACACTTAAATAACTCAACCAGATCAACAAACACATGCCTTACGCCTTACCGTGCCAGCACTAACCAATCGCGTACTTCTCAAAATAAACCGCAAAAACCTGACAATTTACCCAATCAGTTAAGCCGAACTACGTCAATGAGTATGCAACGTTTGGTGCAACGCACACCTTCGTTAAGTCGTGCTCGCACGCCGTGTACATCTGAGGATGGACGTTGGCCGGGAATAAGTTCATCACGGTCCGCTTCGGCAAGACGTGGTATGTCTGTCACACCTGATCTCGCATCTTTAAAGATGCGTTCCAGCATAATGGCAAGCATGGAAATCAAATCAAATTCGTCGAGTCCCTATGGGACACTACCACGAAGGAGGAAACAAAAGTCAGTAGAAGATTTAACCGGCCGTAGCTCCCGTAGCAGTTCGATATCTCGAGAGACACGCATGTCTACTTCCGTTATAATGAGTTCACGAAAAAGCTTAACTTCGTCGTACGGTTCAAACACGGCTACGCCCACACAACAAAAATCGTTAATAAGCTCGTTGGCAATGAGTAAGAGAGAAAACCAAAATTCACGTAAAAGCTCAACAGCGATTTGTAAAACTAGAATTTATCACGAGACTGGATCACAAACTGCGTTGACAAGTCAAGATTTGGAGAAAGCTTTTGCCGGCGTAGCTTCTCATACTAAAGCGATCGACGCAGTTGAACTGCATGATCAAGAAACACAAGCCGAGATAAGAGACGAGGAATTGGAAAGGTTACGCTGTGAAGTGCGACAGTTAACAGAACGGGAACAAGAACTGGCCATAAAATTGAAGCGAGAACGGGAGGAGAAATTAGCCATTCAACGTGAATTACATCTCAATACCGAACGGGTTATGGGCCTTCTAGCTTTGGCACGCGTTGCTGGTAACGGTAAAATTGTGGATGCCGGTACACCCACCTCAGATGAGGGTGAGGGTAGTCACGATAGTTTGCTTATGCTAGAATCACAAATTCAAATGAGCGGTCATGAGTTGATAGAGCGCCAACAGGAGGTTGGTCAGCTAAGGAAACTCTGTAGATCTCTACAAATAGAAATGGAACGTTCGTTAATGCAACAAGAATGTTTAATGCAACAAAAAGCCGCTATTGAACAAGAGTCCACTGAATTGCAAGACTTTCTGCAACATGAAAAGGTGGCCATGTGCGACGCTCTCAAAGAATTGGAAAATGAATATCAACAGTGTAAACAACAATTAGCCAATCGGGGGGAAGAAGTAAAAGTACTAAGGGACGAATGCCGCCATTTAGTGAGATTGAATGAACAAAGAAGGTAAGAGAAAGGAGAGGAACGAAGTGATGTTGTTTTAAATTGAAATGATCTTGTTTATGTGATGCAGGCAAGAGAATCGTACGCTGCAAACCAAATTTGCCGCATTGGAGACCAAGTCCAAGGAATTGATAATGCAGCAAAATGCGTCTGTGTCCGGAGCTACAAGCGCTTTATCGGGCCTTCACACACGTTTAGACAATTTGGTAGAACAGCTAGTATTCTCCTATAACATATCCGAACTAGATTTGGAGGTAAGTAGAAGTATAAAACGAAGGCTCTTTTACGAATTTTGAATTAGTTTTGTACTATTGTGCATATGGGTTTATTTTGTGTGTGTGTTGGATTTTTCAATATATATTTAAAGAGAGAAATGCATTCTTAGATCAATTGTACTTTATAAACGGTTTAAAGGTTCAAATTATTATTATTATTATTATTAAGTAATGCGGTGAAAGGAAATAAGAAAATTGCTGAAAGAATCCACAATCGTTTAGTTTGAATGGAATGATAAAAGGATGATGAGAGAGGTACTTTTGGTTTTTTCATTATTTTATTGTTTGTTTATTTAAAATAATCGATACGTGTGAGAGATGGAAACGATCGAGCATAATAATATGTTTTCTTGTTTTCCCAAGTAATTTCTCATAATCCTCCGAGGCAAGAGAATACATTTCTTTCAATGTTTGGTTGTGTTAATTAATATTTTATTTCTTGTTTGTAATTAATTTTTTTAGCACAACACCCGTGATAACGATGAAGACTTGCACTGACATTTAAACAATAGTTGGGTGGGTTTTCATTCGAATATTCTGTTAATGTGTTTGACTTGAGTTAAGCTTAATATTAATTTTCGTAAAATCGAGCCCATATAAAGTGAAAAAGCATGTCAAACGTAGGCTAAAAAATTAATTATTCTTCATTTAGTTCATTGATTTTACAACACATGCATCTTCCATTCATTCTTTACTGATTAATTATAATGAGGTTGAGAAAAAGTTTTTACTTTAATAAACGATATATCATTAATTATTCATATTCAAGGATATTGGCTTTCAAAATGATAGCCAATCGAATATCAGTGCCAGCGGAGAAACATCACTAGATTGCGATAGTACCACGACGTCAGTAAAATTACAATTGAATGGGCATGAGTTTACGCATCAGCAGCACCCGCAAACACTTACTTTTTCTCAAACAACCAATTATGCTCAGTATCAATTAAATTCAGCTAGCGATGGATCCCTATCACCTCAACGAAATCAGTCGTTTATAGCGGCTGTTATCAGTGCCATTCGTAATGCTACCACACATTCAGGAAAAAGGCTATTAATACGTCAAGGCAAACGATGTAGTGAAACTGTTGCAAGCTCAGGGGTAGGGGGTGCTACGGTCGTTCATCATCATAACAAACAGTGCAATACGCACCAACCTCGCAATGAGATAATAAATAATGGCGGTAATATATGATGCATTCAGTTGCATACAATTGTATTCTAATAATCGATATATTTATAGATGATTCTGATTCGACTGAAATGTTGGATTCAGAAACTGAACCTTGTTTGATGATGGATAACGTTTTGGAGGATGTGAATATGCCCGACTCGCATTCACATAATATGGTTTCGTCTTGCACGGGCATGATATCACAAATTGAAATACCTTCGGAATTAGTGAACGCAACCACCGGCGACGAATCTCTGCACAATCTATCGCAGGCCATTGTTAATCGTCAAACTGTGGAATCGCAAGTTAGTGCTATGGCTGTGCAAAAATATAATCAACAAATTAAGTAAACGTTCATAAAGACATTTTTATATATATCTTAAGTAAAAATATATAACAAATGCAATTTTTTTTTAAATTCTTTTTTTGTATTAGCGAGACGAGTGTTACCGAAGAGCCGAGTTGTCATGATTCTGTAGCCGAAATGCCTTCTTTGGTCGAGTATTCTGCCACCCAAGCTGTAGTGGATCAAGTTATCGAAGTTGATAATTTGGTTACAAAACTCTTGAAAGTTTTACGCCTTATACAAATCGATAACGATAATTGCATTCAGCAGCTCATAATCGATAAGTAATTATTCTTTAAAAATTTTCAAAATTTTTTTTTCTTGAATAAGCTAAGTTTCTCATTTCTTGCGAAATAAATATGTTTAGAAATAAATTGCAGCAAAGCAAAGAGGATATGCTTGAGAAAATTAAAGACTTACAGGATGTTAATGTTAAACTACAAGACGAACTGATGGATGCGACACAAGAGTTGATGATAAAAACTAATGATTTATCAAATACCAAAGCTGAAATCCAACGCCATCGTAATGAAATCGATGTAAGAATCTATTAAATAATTTTTATTGTACTTTATTTAAATATTATTGAAAGTCAATTATATTGCTGCTTCTCTTAACTTGGTTAACTATGTTTTCTACTCTCATTAATCTGAGTTTTAAAGTAAAAGCAATAGATATTTAACTTGACTTTAAAATGCTTTCCTTCCTTCACATCTCTATTTCTATCTCTTCATCTTTATCTATTTTTTTAATTTTGAATTTTTTTTTTTTTTTTTTTTTTGCTCACAGCCCCAATAGACATAGTTTGCTTATTTAAATATTAAATACTTAAATAATTTTGTGTTTTATATTTTAATTATTTTGATGATAATCTTATTCGATTATTATTTTCACTTAAACGGAACTATATATTAATATTTATTATTTTTTAATTTTTTCCTTATAATTTAATATCTTGTATAATAAACTTATGTTTGAATAAATAATTTGATTTTAATTTTAACAATTTGTTTTTTCTTTCCATTTTTCATAGTCTGGGAATAATTTTAATGAAGCGTGTTTCCAATATGGTAACATTAATTCGTTAAGCGTATAAAATAATTAGAGAGAAAGAGAGAGAGAGAGAGAGAGAGAGAGAGAGAGAGAGAGAGAGAGAAACTGCTTTCATATCGCTAATACCTATTAGTTAAATTAAAAATGCCAATGAAATTTGTAGATAGATTATTGAGTGAAGCGCATCTCTGCACTTTATCTTGCGTCCTATAGTCGATAGGAATGCCGCAAAGTGTTGCAATTTCCTTTGAAACATCTACTCTAACGATTTGGCATAATAATGGGGCATAGAGTGCATATAAGGAACATCTAAGCGACATCTAAGTAGAAAGTCATTTATATTTTGGTTGGCAGATATTCAACCGTCGAAATGTTGACCTTCGTTTCACTTATTCCTTTAAGTTTAATGATTTTAAGCTTTATAAACATATTTTTAAAATAGATTGCACCTTGCATATTCATATCATTTGCAAAATTCATATCATGCTGATGCTCTCGCTATTTGGTAGCCTCCGATGAGTTTTCCAACGTCTCGGCAAGTCTTCTGAAAAGTTTTTTTCGCAGTTTTACACTCGATACTGGTAACGGCTGCACTTTTCGTTACTACTCTTTTGCGTCTATGTGCACTACGACATCTATCGTGTATCATGCTTCAAACTTTAAGCGAATTTGATAAGATTTCAGTTAGCTACCATAATCAGGGAAGCGAACTTTTGCAGGCAAAATAAATAGGGCGTCATTCACGTTTGGGCACACCATAACTTATCAACTTTTTTTTTTTTTGTAATTTTAGGATTTCGATTTTAATTCTATAATTTTTTGAAATAATTTCGCTGTTAAAGAAAATTAAAAACCGAGAAGGGTTTAACAACTTTTCTGAAGTACCCTGTTTACCTATTTTCCTAATTCAATTTGTATATCTTAATTTTTTTTTTTTTTTTTTTTTTTTTTTTGTGTATGTTTAGCTGCAAATGCTTAAAAATTTTCTAACTCAATAACTGCCAAATGCAACAATCTTCAAAAATGACATCTTTTAAATCATAACAATTGAATGTAACCTTTTTTTTTTTGTGTTTAACTATCTCCACCACCAACAACATCACCATCAACATTTTCGTTAAAACAATAATAATAATAAAAAAAAAATAAAAAAAATAAATAAATAAATAAATGAATTAAAAAAAAAAAACCAATCATCCGAATGTAACTTGAAAAAAAAAAAAATAAAATCAATTTGAGTGCATTTCTCTGTCCTATGTAATCATAAACATCACTACATAGCAGCGGAAATCCTTTTTATGTTAACAGTCACGTAAACAAAATCAAAAAAAAAAAAAAAAAAAAAAAAAAAAAAAAAAACGAGGTATAAACACAAATGTTTAAATAAAATTTTTAAAAATATATGTATATGTGTAGCGTTTAACTGAGGACATCTGCAATTTGAGTACATTGTGTAGCAATTATCGTAAACTATCGCCAAGCACCGAATTACCACCATTTGAGGCTGGATCACTTAACAGCCAGTTAGACGATATCGCTGGTATATTAAATTTACTAAAAATGTGGCAGGCCGAGGGCCAGCTAAATGATACCAGAGTCCAGCAATTCATGGTGGATTCATTGAAAACAAACGTGAGTTCCTCTTTATTTGTTTTGTTTTTTTTTTTTTTTTTTCTTCTTTTTTTAATATATTTACGATTGAAATTTATAAATTTTCTTTCTTATGTTATGTTATTCGATATCGGTTACAGAATGGCAACACAAAGAGTTTGACAGATGATCGTCATCATTTAGAAGAACGTTTACGCATATATGCCAATCAATTACAAAATGTTTTAACGGTTCTCAATACCTGCCAACAGCTGATTACTGACAATCCAGCCCTGCAAGAACTGCGTAAAGATATCGAAGTGGTTAAACTCAATGCCAATTGGTCGCAATTACTGCGCGATCAAGTTGGGGAAGATGACCTTAATGCCAATTAAATTTAGAAAAAATATAATAAAAAAAAAAAAAAAAAAAAAAAAATTAAAAAAATTGTATTCGCTTCAGAGTGAATGTTAAACATCCACCACCTAGACCATGTTGACCATGTCATATAAAAAGCTTCTGCGCGCATTGTTCTGCTGATCTCCTATGATAATAATTCAATTGCCTCTAAAGTAAGATTGATCAATACACTCCGTGTAAAAATATTGTTAATTGTTTTTGATGTGAAATAACTCATCTGATGTTTTCTCTTTCCACCATTGTGAGTCTTTAAGAACAAGACAATGCTGTAAGGTTTTTTTTTTTTTTTTTTTTGACATAAGTCTTATATGAGCTTATATATAGGAGGATTTGGCTTGTTTTTCTGTTATTTCAAATGGTCTTGGTCGGTAAGAGTGGCACCACTTTTTTTTATTACTAAAAAAATTATTCGATCCAACTGTGAAGACTTGCATAATTAAGTCTTGTTTCTCTTTACTGAAATGTTTGCGCACATTGTCTTGTTCAAGAGTTAACTATTTAGATGAGATAATGAGTACATATTTTTTACTTTTAGGTGGTGGGTATGCAAAAAAAAAAAAAGTACTAAAATTCATCCAAATTATAAAAAAAACGTCCATTGTGTTGTTATATTACGTTATCATTACTATTATTTATTTAATATGATATATATTTAAAAAGGAAATGTTGTCATTATTTTAGACAAATTAATTAACAAACAACAGTTAATATTATGTAGTAGTTATGAAACGCAATCAGTATAGGCTTATTGGCCATGCAATTAAGAATTTAAAAAAAAAAAAAAAAAAAAAAAAAAAAAAAAAATGAAGATCGACAACCGTTCAGGTCAGAGCACTAAGCGACAATCCATTATGCGATGGTGGCCTGTACAATCTTGAAAGCGCAGGTAAATCGCATTAAGCACGATATAAAATTAAATTCAAACAACATCGAAAACGTATTGATCTTGATTGTACAATTTCCTTTTTATTACATAATACATATACAATATGTGCGTAGTATTATATTTAGTATGTACTTATTACACATTAATATAGTTGTATATGTGTACATTAATCAGATCATATACAGTCAGATATGTATGTATGACGTTTGAATTGAACCATTTTGGCATTTTAGCTTAGACCGCTTGTTATTATACAGTTATTTTAAAAACTTTAGTCATGAGACTCTTCCTTTTTTTTTTTTTTTTTTTTTTGTTCATTAAAAAAAAAGTTGTGTAATTGTAGACGCGAAAAACGCTGAAAAAATTTAATTATACATATATAATCTTTATGTATAGGCACATGTACTAGTAATTAATAAGCAAAAATCGAATTCATCTTCTCTCTTAACAATAAAATAAAAAAATAATATTTTTATGTATGTGAAAACAAAATTTGAACCTAAAATAAAATGTAAAATATAATAATCATTCTTCTTCTTCGTTTATTTTCATCTCCACCTGTTGCACAACATACACATATCTACATCACTAAAAAGATCTCTGACTTTCACATATAATCAAATCAAGGCCAAAAATTAGTCGCCTTTTCTCATCGAAGGCTGGGGTTGGATCCTACAGAGAGTACAGAGAGCTGCATATACCACGAAGTATGTCCGTCTGTTTAATGTGGCATGGTGAACATTCGTCTGGCCGCAAGATTGAGGATATTGATGATATGAGGATATACGAAATTTAACAGAAACCTTAAATGTTTTCGTTGAAAATGAGCCAAATCAATGATCGCGTTGAATGCAATCTAAATTAGTAGATTTTTTGCTAACTACTCACAGAAAACATCCTTCCTACTAAAAAGTAATTAATGATCACTGCCTTATTGCCTTCAACATCCGCAGCTATGTCGGCAAGTTGTCGGGGGGTGGACAATGTTTTTCACCTCAACCAACACACGAAGTGGCACCTCATTGGCATAATTTTATATGAAATGGTTTTCGCTGCGCGCATCAGTCACTCCAATCGCTCGCAAGCGCTTCTTATGCGAGGGTCACATGATGGATTAATATTCCATTTGGCCAAGTTTCGTTGTCCTATTTAAATTTCTATTTTCAGATGATTCTTTTCGATCAGATTGAACAAGATTTATGAATTATCGCTTGGACATTTGTGCCATTTTCGTGTTCCGAAACGCTACATTGCTTTTGCGGAGGACTCTTCCACGGGGACTTTAAATAACGAAAACATATACGAGCGCATTCGAAATGCTTGTTATTTCATACGATGTTTAGAGAACAATTCAATTTTTTATAAATCTTTCTATATCTGTACGTAAGGAATTGAATTCGGCCAAGTGATGTAGAGGATTTAATAGTCGGTTTTGCTCAACCATAATCTTTTAACATATTTTATTTTAGATTATTGTTAGTTTCCTGCCAGATATTTGAAGCAAGTTATTGTTCGGAATTAGTGATCATCGTCAGACCCTAGCAATAATCGATTTCGAAGCGGATAAAAAACACACGATTATGACAATTTATTTTTTGAATGACACCAACGGAAGGACTGAAAACTTTAAAACCGTAAATCGAGTCAAGGTTTTAGAATATTGAAGAATAGTTAAGAGTCCTCAAGCGACTTTCCCACCAAAATCTTATAACAAAACTCTTTCGTCTTTATTATAAAATCAAACTATTTGAGAAGACGATGACTAAGTAGTCATCGTGTCTGATATAATATAAGTGATCGCGTACAGTTGAAATCGCGTACAGTTAAGACGATGCAAACTTCGCCAATGTTGTTTCGACTAACTACATTTTTAGGCTGATGATATTAAAGAAAATATATTTCTTTAAAGAATATACAAGTGAAGGCCGTATATATCCAATCTGGCGCCTATTACGACCAGAATATACATAGGAGGAACAGATTTTCATTTTCACTTTTTTTTTTTTTTATTCTTACGAATTGGTAATGAATTTGAGGATCGGGTTGGTTTCCTTTATACTGAGCAATTCATACAAACTCTTTGCGTATTTACCTAATATTTAAATGAGTAAATAAGTTAAAGCAAATTTCTTTCAATCTTCAAAGCAAAAGTAAACAACAGAAATTTTCTTCTTTCAGGTTCTGCATGCGTGGAATGTTCAATTTTTGTTAACTTTTCAATTCTCATAGCTGAGGATGTAAAACAAAAGAAGCAAACTTGTCTCAAAGAAACGCCAAGCAATAGTGTTGCGAAGAAAAAACTTTTTAGTCTGAGTCGTCAAAAGTGCCCACAAAAACATTAAAACATTTAAATATATTGGAGAGCAGCACTTTTCTCTATACCTGCCATAGCCAACAGTGATGATTGAATTTACGTCGGATTTGATTTCATTAATAGTTTAAGGACTTTACCAAACCACTACCATTTCAGAAAAATGGTTTCGCGTAGAAACGACCGTACGATCACAGTTTAGGAAATTTGAATTTCAAAATGAACAGAAGCTCTTCGGATTAAAAGAAACTGTACAAAGTAACTCATTGTTAAATCCTTGTTGTCGACAAAGGTTGTTTTAGCGGTGTTGCCCCTTAAACAACAACAACAACAATCACATTATAATTTACAAAATTTTATTTGACAAAAGTCGTGCTGCCTTACTGCCTTACACTTACTCAAGAGCTGTGCTCTTCTCGGCACTATTCACAATATCATTTCATTCCAATCTTATGTCTTTTTCCCAACAACACGATATTTCTGGCGGCTCAAAAATTTAATTATAATACCTACTGACGAAAAATGTCGCTGCGAGCGATTGAAAAAAGTCTTTCATGTTTTCACAAACGGTTCATGAATCTGATTCGATGAAGCGTTGGCGTCATCCTGGCAGTCATACCTTTGTAGTGTAGCAACCACCATAACGTACACCATGACGAAATGACTTCCTCTTTATAATGCATACATGCAGCAATATGTAACGTGTGCAGATATCAAAGAATTTGTTAAACGTAACGCTGTTTATATTTGACTTCCGAATGAAAAAAGATGAAGGCGACACAAAGAAAAAACGCATAAACATTTGAAATTTTTCGCGTTTTAATGTCGTCTTCATGTTGAAAGAGTCAGAAAATATTAAACAGTTATTGCACATATTCATAATTATGTATTATTGTATGTGCAGGAACTTGTGTATAAAATTTAAATAGATTGAAAACTTTAACTTAATTAAATCAAGAATATAAATTAATTAATGATTTATTGACATTTATGTATATTTTATATTAAAAGTCTATAACATGGTGCGAGAAAATCAAAAGCCGATTAAATTACGACTAATCGAACTGAGTGGCCGAAGGCGAGGAATCTCGACTAGCAACTCAATGGTCGTGGCTTCGAATCTCAAGTGCGTTAGAGTTTTTAATAAAAGCCGATAGCCTTAGATGCTAGTGTTTTTAAGAGTTTAGTCTTAGAATTTATTTCTCTGGAGAAATTAATAATAATAATAATAATAATAATAATAATAATAAATTACGACTAAATCTTTTGCTTGAATACCGGTGTAACGGTTAAAACCAATTTATAACGATTAATTTATAACGAGTGAGCTCCATTTGCAACGAATAAAGCCACTACTTCGAACAATAAAAATACTGCAATACTTACTGTTAGTATGCTCTGCATATAACTGAATGCATATACTTGAAACCTGGACGAAAACGTGAGGAAGAGGAAGATGGAGAGAGAAAGAGAGAGAGAGAGAGAGAGAGTAAGAATATGCAGCTCTCTGGCGGTGATCGTGTTTATTGTAATTGTTTCATGATGATTTTCTTTAGCTACATACGAATCGGACGATGCTCAGTGTGAAGTTAACCGCTGCGATGTCTGTGACCTGCGTTGATGTTACGGAATAAAAGTTCACCCAATTTGTCGATCTGTGTGCGCTTGTATATTTTTGTTTATAAATTGTTTATGGTTCAGTTTACATTACAACACAGATATAAAGGAAATACAAATAAATCGATCAAATATCATGGTGTTCGTCATATTATTATGTTATTAATCAAGAATACAATGTACTCAAAAATTAAATTAAGTAGCTTAGTTTATTGGAATTGCATCCAAGAAAAATGTGTTCAGTTTTTTTAAGGAATTAAAAAGAACTCAGGGAGAAACCGGTTTAACAGCCTATGAGCAACAGCATAACCCTATTGAATATTCTGTTAAATGATGATAATGATGATTATGAAGAAACATTCAACTTCGAGGGAAATGTTACATCAAGTGAAAAATTTATGCGTTACTGTGCGTGTTTAATGCTTATAAAGTGAACATCTTTTCTATGGGGAAAAGAAAAATGCTAAACAAAATGGAGCTTGATATTCAGTCCATGCCTGAAAGAAAACCGATTAATTTGCCACAATCTGCTCTGAAGAGAGCATCATTTAATAATTCTACGACCAGTTCTGTAGATAATGTGGTCTATCCGCCATCCCATCAATATCATTATATCCAGTATTATCAACAGCCCATGAATCAATATAGTAATCCTCAATTTGCCACCGCTTGCCAATGTAGCTGTTCTTGCGGCAACCAACAACAGCCGCAATCACAACAGCACCAACTACAAAGCCAACAACAATCGTTAACGCAACGCTTAATGCCAAATCATTCGCATCAGGGCAGCATAGATAGTCAAAGAGTAGCGGTTATTGTTCATAGGCAGGCAAGTGGCAGTGCCAGTAGTAGCACGGAGTTGGCCAACACGAACGGTGATTTACCACCTAAAAAAGCCCAATCAGAAACTTCGCTGCTGAATCATTCTTACCAAGCTTTAAAAATGTCTGAATCATTAAGTGAGAATCTGTTTGATCCCACTGTTAAATTAAAACCGGCCAGTAGCTGTGATTGCGATTTAGAATGTACTTGTGGAGCTGTAACCAAACGCAAAGATGCCAAACAATTTGCTGTTTCGGAAGCTATGTTGACCGCCGATGAAATTACGGTTAGCGAATCGGATAATAACAGTAGTACAGTGAGACGTTGTGAACGAAATCAAACTAAAAAATTGTAAGTATTGCTTATAAAAAAAAAAAAATAAAAAAAAATACGAAGTTACAAGTTTCAACACATACATACGTCTCAAAGGAATGCCTTGAACGATTCAAACTACAACAACACAAATCACATCGATATCTACAGTGACGGTGAAGGAGATGCAGATGGGACAACGGATGCCTGCCTTAAACAGAAAAACGGTCTGCCAGGTGAGACGAGTGATTTGAGGCCACCATTACCACCGCGACCGCCACCTAGGCCCCTGAACAATAGTACAAATCCGAATGGTTAGTATGATCATAAAATATGACGATTTGTGTGATTTCTTGAATCTGCAGAGAAAAACTTGTTAAGCTAGAACAGATTCAGCCTTTCTTATGATCTCTTTTTAACCTAGAAATATGTTTTGCTGAATTAAGGATACCGAAAAGAATACGTGTTCTTGATTGGCGTAAGATTTTGAATCGATTTAACCCTACTCGTTTGTCCATCCGATTACATATCTTCCATCTTGTCATCCGAATACTCAGCAAACGCAAAACTTGCAAAAAAAAAAAAAAAAGCTTGGCATATACTTCTTTTCCACATAACATATAATTATAATAATTATAATTTGCAACTGGGGGCAGCTATTTGTCTGAAACCCGCTACTTAGGCGACGATTTTAAGTGAAAATATTGTCGTTACCCTCCCAAAACGGATGAACAATAGACAAGAAACTGTTACTTAGAGATTATAAAAAATATTTGTCTAAAAACTACTACAAATATTCAGCAGGGTCAGTAGGGCCACTATAATTGACCCGCTCACATTTAAGAAAATATTTTGCAATTTTAATGTGTGTTGGGTCAAGTTAGTGGGTATCAAAGATACCTTTTTTTTTTTATTAAAAAGTATCCGAATGGATATTGTAAGCTTTAGGACAACTTTTATAAATTACATAATTATTGGAATTTCATCGTTGAAGTGCCCATTTGTTTGCAGATTAAAAACATTAAAAACATGTCTTCCTTAAGATAAGTTTGAGGGCAAAATCCCACGATTTCATGTCGCATGAGGTTAGAGACTAAGCGATACGATTACATGACCAATACGTATATGTCTTCGACTTACGCGCCATCTCACAGCGTCCTTTGAATACCATAAATTCTGGCTACACATGCAAAAAGTTTGAAATGATCCCACAATATTGACCATAAATTCACTTTGGGCTACCCTGTATTAGAGTAGCAATCCTTTGGAAAATGGGTATAGTTATTGGCTATTTGTCGAAACTTAAGTTAATGTCTCTTTTCTTTATATTTTATGTTTTGTTTTGTTAGAAATGCTTGACATAAGCTTTTCGACAGAAAGCTATATATTTACCGAAAGGGAGATGTAATGGCATTGAAATGTATGTTAAGGAATTTCTTATCATCCCTTAGTTTATGCGGAAACTTTTAATTCTTCAGATAGATACTAAAATATTCAAGTGAAAATTGTAAAAGTTGACGAAGTCATTATATTAAAATTTTAAATATTTCATAAAAGTTTTATTATTGAGAGAAAGATTTTTTTCTCTTATAACACTGCGAACAAAAATTACGTAGGCGAAATGCATGGATATCCTGTCATGCAGTTTGTGCAATATAGCGTACCTCCACCTTGCAGCTGGATGCCATCACAAAATCCGCTTACACACAGGCCGTTTGTAGCACCCACTCCACCGCCGCCACATGCCGCTAATATGGGTCGGTTTAGCTTCCCACGCCAATAATTTATTCATTGCTCCAAAATACAAAACAAATCCCTTTTCCTAACCTCTCCGTTTCCTATAAGTTTTTTTTTATTATTTTTGTAATTTGATTTCAGTTCCCAATCATCGTCATGGTCCAGGTATTAAAAAATATGTTATTTGGTGTTTGATATGCGGTGGCCTTTCCTGTGTTCTGGGTGTATTGTTTTTAGGGGTGTATTTTCTATTGCATTCGTACACCATAACAGTGGGTAATTTTGAAACCGTACCCACGTTTGTACCCGCAACGTTGGTAAGTCCATTTTTTTTCACCGTATGCGCTTAAAATAGACATGGGTTTTAATCTATCTTTAAAATTTGCAGCTAATTTTAACGGGATTATGCATTATGAGTTTGGCGAGAAGACGGAACCGATATAGTTATTTAGTAAGCGTTTTTCAGTAGCCACATATGAAAATTATTATAAATTACGTTTTGCAGATAAAACTTTCTGGTGCTTGCGGTCTCATATCTGCTTTGACGTGTGCTTTAGTTACCGTAACCACTACTGTCTTACATATGAGTCGCTTACAGGCCTTACGAGAATGTGAATATGCGCAAAAGACACGAACATGTACATGTTATTCTGATATGATTGAATCACAAGTAGACCGCGTCGATAAGGGTAAAAATAATTTCTGTTAAAATCCTATCAAGACGGTCTCTAAACTTTTCCTCTCTTGTTAGAAGGCGTTCGTTTGGTGTTCGATTCATTGTCAGATTGCGGTGTAGTTCACGGTTCCCTTTACTCTTGTTTAAGAGCGATATTTGGTTTATCAGTAGCTGGTGTGCTTGTAGCAGTGTTCAGTTGTATGCTAGTATATCAACTGTTAAGGTACGTACTACTTTTTACAAGAAAAAAGAGGCTCTTATCACATTGAATTAACATTTTAAGCCACGAACGCAAAAAAATATATTGGGAACAGCTGGAATTGCGATGCCGCTCTTTATATACAAGACAACAAATGCCTCCGCAAAATATGACATCTGTCGGGAACGGAGCACATGGCTGCCGTTGTTGCGAACAATGCCATGCTCATCGTCAAATACCCATTCAGGCTACTTCATATCCTCCGTGGGATGAAACTGGGGAGCCACGTTTTTGGTCTACCCAACCACCGGGAAATTTTTACTCACCAAACCCTGGAGGAGAGGATCTGACCGCTTTAACAAATACTTGCCGTAATCATGAAATCCCTAATAACCGTAGTCGTGGCACTGGCTGGAGTTGGAATCGTTGGTGGCAACGAAATTCTCCAGATCCTAATTTACGATTCCGTCAAACACCTTCCAGCCCGGACTCTCAGTATGGTTTTACGAATACCACCACGCTGCCCGCCAATGGTGTAGGAGATGAATCAACAACAGTAAACAATCAACAAAATACCTCGCAATTTAATGTGTTACCCGGTAATTTGCCATATGGAGTTTGGGGACCCCCACCACCTTACAGTGACCCCAACAGTCCGGCCAGAAGAGGTTATTATCAATATATACAAACATCTCTTCCTATAAACTCAAATGTGCCGTCAAATACAAATCCTTTAATACATGGAAATGGCAACGAGTCGGGTCATGGAAATTATATAGAACAACCAGCGACTTCAACTTGTTGTCCGCAATCTAGAATTGTGCCCAGCGCTGTCGCGAGTACTAATGGCAATTTTAAATCCAAGGCTGAGTATGAAAACACTCCGTCAGATAGTGACTGTGGCAGCGGAGCAAGAGAACGTGAACGTTTTTCGAACACTCTGCCGTCACGTAAAGTGAAAAAGCGTCTTGATCCGGGAAACAAAAGCATAGGACCGAATTCCCAGAATTCGGCGCGTGTAAGTGTGCAACAAGTGTTTTCGAATGCAATCAATAGAAACGAAGAACAAGAATATCATGATCCTCAAACCGGCAATGATGGGCAACACATAAATGGTGTGCAAATAAACAAGGGTGGCGTGGAAAATTCCGGATTTCAAAATAGCAATGAAAATGCTAATTCGAGCCAAAGCGCTGACGAACCGAGACAGGAATCAGGCAGTGATCCTACCGAGTCCGAAGTATATTTCGCTGACGTCAGTAGCTGTTGTAATATGTCACTTAAGAATGATCATTATTACGAGGATACGAGATCTTCGCAAAGGACTCTCATGCCAATTACCGATCAGAATTCACATCATCAACACCATCATCATCAACATCAGAATAGTAATTGCAGTAGCAGTAACAATGAAGATTATTTAGCTCAACGTTTTGGTCAACGCGAGAATTCGATTCGCAGCCGTTTACCATTTCCCCAAATTGCAACTCAAAACGACGGTTTCGCAGAAAACCTCAAAATGTTAGCATCGGTAAACAAAGAGAATCAAAATCAGAATCATCTCTTGCTGCCCAAAGATATGTCTAGACAAAGCATGTGCTCTGTTGATTCTGAGGCAAAGACTGAATTTACTGATCTCTCACCCTCAACGCCGTGCAGTGGCAAACTAACACAACTAAAAGATTTTGTTGAGGAAGGCAATACGATCAGCAGCACCCAAACAGCTGTGACACCCACCAATTTTGTAGCTTCTTATCCTCCCTATTCCTCCGAATCGCAGAGCTTAGAAGCTCATAAACGATCTACGAAAAACCTCACGGAAGTCCATTACGAAGTGATCGATGATAATGCCACATTAACACCAAATGTGCGTAATATGCCACGCACTCCAAACAAGCAAATGACAAATAAGAAATCCGTATTAAGAGACCGTTTAGATAATTCGGATAGAGAATGGCTATCAGATGGCAACAATAGCGATCGTCAACGTTTATGAAATGAGGTGTTTGTCTAGAAGCACGCAACTCGCTGACAAATATTGTCTAGCACAGTAGTAGAGTGTTCACCAACAAGTTTGTTAATGTTTTAGTGTAATTGCATTTAATCATCAACTGTTGCATGGATGTATACTCATTATCCGTCCTTGTGTTCGCTGTTAAATACAATATATTCCCTATCTCCTTGTTCTGAAAAGTTCGTATGAATTGAACTGACAACAGTATTTAGAGAAAACCGGCATATGTACATGTACGTATTCAGTCCTTTTTTTCAATTGCTCATAATTATTATGATCGTTGCATTGATTATGAATTATGTATACTAAGATAAATATTTCCAATTGTCTACACACATTCTAATATGTATCTATAGATGTATTTAATACTTATTAAATTAAAAAAATATATATGTAAACTAGTTGTTTGGCTTTGAAACTATGCGAAAGTCTTCATGTACGTATGCATACATGCATACGTGTATATGCATATATATATATATATATATGTATGTATATGTATATATAATAAACAGATCAATGACAAATAAATAGAAAAAATTATTTAACAATAAATAGTATGTACTTCAAAAAAAAAAAAAAAAAAAAAAAATAAAAAAGATGCAAAGTTTTTACTTTCAACAAGATGGAAGCTATTCATCGGAATCGATGGCTTAACACTTATCAATTAAACGTATAGGTCTGAAACGATTTATATGTTTGTTTAGCTGTAGTTTAAAAATTTAAAATTCTTAAGACGATTCCTTTCTGCTTATTCCATCATCCTTTACAAGTCACATTTGGACCTAGCTATAAAAGCGAAAGAATAGTAAAATTTTGAAAAAAGAACAAGAGAAAGTGTTAAAAGAATCTTTTCATCATAGAAAAATTCATTCATTCTTTAATTCATTCATAGAAATTCATTCCATGAAACAAGACAAATGGATTTTGTCGAAGGAATGAACGAAAAAATATCGTATCATGTGCAGCGTATCGCATTCTCAGTCCGAATGAATTAACGGAAGCATTAATTAATTCACTGGTTTCTGCATATTTGCCAAAGTGGGGATTGTAATCTCTTTCTTTTGGCGTCTGAACAGCTGAAGTAAGGTGAAAAAAGTTTCAAAAGAGTCGTGCATGCGTTCTCTTTAATTCGTTTTTATGAAAACAAGTCAATATTTGTATATAACATAAGACAAGACAGAACGTTTCAAGTTTCCTTTTAACAAAAGCTCAAGCCTAAAGTGAGGTTAGAATGTTCTTGTTGAATGAACAAGGTACCTATATACGATATAATGGGTGCTTAAAAGTACACTTTTACATACATACATACATATTTATTGCAAAAGAAGGCGTATTGACGGACAGAGGGGCTAATTAATGAATACGTTCACGCTATTTTCAGCATTTTTGGTTATATTGTATATTATGCGAGCATATGCTCATGTGTTCAAGTCTTCATTTTATCTCTTTGACCAGTTTCCGCACCCAACGAATAAAAATTTTTTAAATAATTTTCATCAGCACATTAAGCCACGAATGTCCAAATTACGGTTTAGTATAAATTTCCACATAAAATAATAAAAAATTAACGTTGTGTGTACAACATAAAAAGATTGTATTTTATATAAGAATATTTATGTGGGAGGAGGTTCAAAAATTGTTCCATTCTGCACAATTTTTTCTCTTTCATTTAATATTAGTTTGGGGAAAAAGAAATCCATTATTTTTTCGGTAGATGGCTGCACTGATAGATTTCTCGTAAAGTATTAAAATACTGTTTTTCTACGGATTTTTCTCGAGATATATTAAAATGAAACCATATTTTCATTTAACCACTTTTTCAAAATGGAACATTATAGGGGAAGTAGTGATAAAAATATTCTCATCGAAATGACATTCAATATCTTTGGTCCTTGACTGCGAGAAATTTAAATCATTTAAATCATATATCTGTAAAGTTGCGATCTGTAGACTGAATATAGCAAAATATGGCCATATATTGCACAGAGCGAAACACATATAGCTATGCTTAAATCGGTTCAGAAAGTGATTCTTGATTGATCAGTATAACATAAGGTGAGTCTATTTCAGAGTCTCCGGGATGTTACATACTGTTACGAAAGTCCCACATTTGACCAAACATGACAACTAATCGGTTTCCTAGAACACGAAATTCTTAAAATGGTAAAACCAAATACAGTTCCATACGACTGCCTGTCGGCGTTATAAAGCAAAGTATCCTCATGGAGCTGGCGATTGGAGAAATGTTTAGCAACAGTTCGCGGAAAAATGGATTAATATAAAATGACACAATGAGAATAGGAACTCGTAACTTGTTTGTAAAAAGAGTATATAAGAAGAATATATATGAAGAAGAAGGGAGAGTCAGTTGAGTCTCTCGGCAACTTGACCTCCATGTTCATGCACTATTTTCGACTTAATTCAAATTTTATACAGCTTTGGATGATCACGTTTTGTTCGCAGCCAAAGTCACGGTTGCTTTTGGACTTTTCATATGTTTCTTAAGAAGATATTGAGAACGTGGCTCAGTTCTCACTTTGACCTAGCTGTTTACTACTTCGCAATACGATCAGAATCATCTGGATAGGAACTTTGATGGCCTTCTTAGCAGGGAGGTGTATTGGAGAAGATAAAAATCCTCTTTTCATGAAAGATAAAAGGGACTTCTTCCAGAATTAATATATTTCGCCAGGTTGTAGACAGTAAATGTTAAACCCTTGCCGAGAGAAGCAAGAACAAATGACAATTTCGGGGCGTCTGTGTTTCTGCGAATAACTTCGCCCTTCGGCCAATATTATGGAGTATGGACATTTAGTTGTACACTTTTTTTGCCTCTTTAATAGAAAAGATAGTGGGTGTGTGTATACGAAAAACTCCTTCTCAGATGAGTACAATTTTTTTACCTTCATTTTTTTTTTTTTTTTTTGAATTACCAATTACTCAGGGGATGTCTTCCAATACGATGGCGTTCAGAAAGAAGAAGAAGAAGAAGTTTAGAAAGGTAAAGATATAAGGAGGTGTTCAATAGAGCCAACGTAAACTCTACCGCAATAAGATTTGTACTCGCAAATGCTGAGTTTTTAGCCGCAATTGATACCAACACGAGTACAAATTCTTTAACTTGTTAATACTTCATAACGAAAACATGTGAAGCACAATGAAAACGTTGGCAAGAAAATGAACTTTGTTCAATTGAAATCACGTCGATTGAGGTTTTGATCCTTCTCGTTCTCCCTCCTCCCGCATAAGATCTTCCTTGAAAAGTACGTCTTAACATGGAAATAATTTACAATTTTTGATATTTTTGACTTTTATTTAGCAAAGTGGTATAGGGTATTGAAATGCGTTCTTGTCCGTAGATAATATTTTTATTTGTGTTTCTTTTCTTTTTCGTATATAACGGCCGTAAAACTTTAAACGTGCGTTTATTAAATAAAAGCTGAACATTATATATATAGATTTGAATTTATACAAGCAAGCACACGGTTTTCAATTTGCATAAAAGCAGTGAAAACAAGATAATAAGAGCGCTTAAGAAATCTTTCGAAATAAAATGTAGCTTCAGCGACAACTATACGACAAGACGTCTCAACATATTGTTCAAAATACATATTAGTAAAATTGCAGCCATAATTGGTGTTTCTGTTATCAACAGCTGTAATGGCGCTGTTAGTACGCAGCGGTTTGACTGTTCCCTCTTCCATTCTCATTATTCTGTCAAACTATTTTAGTGCACGAAATGTTTGCAAAACAAAATCATCGCAATTTTGCATTTTTAAGTGAATAAGTGCAATGTATGCATATGCGTGCATACCCAAGTATATAGGCGAAAACAAACCAAACATTAGCTAGCAAATATTACTCATGTTCGTTGTATCGTTTAATGAAGAATATACGGGACTTTATACTCGCTTTATAAATTCCGTTTGGCTTTAAGTAAATTTGAGCGACTTTTTTCTTATAACAATATGAAGAAATCTTTCATAAGTAAAAGAATTATGTTATACGAATAGTTTATCTTCATTAAATACACCTAATCCTCGTTTTACTTGATTGATTTCTCAAAGAGTTCGTGTAAACATAGATATTGGGTAAATAGAAAAATAATAGATTGGTTCGTAAGATCTAAAAAAGCAACTGAAAGATTGAAAATAAACAATATTAAAAATTCTTATTAGAATTCACTTAATGTTCATCCACTAAATATATTATAAAAAATTAATTATACTTTGCACTACTACACACTAAATTGCGTAACAATTGCTCTACGCACAATTTAGGGTAACCCACTCATAAATGCATATAATCGGCATAATCTAAATGAATTGCGAAAAACATAAAGCGATGTTATGTAAATTTGCGAGAACTGAGAATGAAAAAATTTATAGAAACATCACTATTGAAAAGTTCGTGTAAAAAGAGAATGAGATGTACAGTATATATGCGTTCACATATATTTAACATATTTTATGCAATTTTCAAGGTCACGCATCGGTTATTACACAAGGCTCTTTACTCATTTATTTCACATGCCTAATGCCTCAGAATACATTCTTATATATACTTAAAATATTAAATATTTGTCCTTAATCCTTGCTTAGTCAATTTGATTTATATATATATATATATATATATAAACAGTCAAACCTGTTTTTGTGCGGTAGATAGGGACCGCAGAAAAAAACCGCACAAAAAAAAATATTCAAAAACTTCATAAATAGCTATAAGAAATAATTTTTCACAGCATCTTAAAGAAAATTTTTTTTATGCGGTAGAGAGGGACCGCATAAAAAAAGTCTCACTTAGAAAATATGTCAAAGCTTTACGAAATAGCAAGAAAGTGCTTTCCAAACAAAATAAATAATTAAATTACACACTGAAACATTTAAGAAAATTTTAATTTCTAATTTTAAACAAGGAGAAATTTTCAAAATGTACATAATTCAATACTACTCGTCGTAGTTCAAAACGCGCATATTTTGGTTATAATATGGTTAAAAGGTCAGCAATTAACTAAAGCTATTGGATGGCGCAGTATGTACATATTGAAATTGGCTGATGCAATATATGCATAAGAACATTGAGCATGCCTAATGAAATAGGCTGATGCAATAGGTATGAAAATGGCTGTTGCAATGTGTACATACACACTGATAGCAAAAAAAGTGATGCCAACGTAGTTTAGATTGACCTAACCTCTCGGCGAAATTCAATGTGTCGATATTCATATACCGCACAAAAAAAAGATTCGCACAAAAAGAATCGCACAAAAAAAAGCGCATAAAAAAAGACCGCATAAAAACAGGTATGACTGTACTCTAAGTCGGTATCCTGTCGATATTATCGAAAATATCGAATTTTTG